TATTAGCTGCATTATTAGATTCTATCCTTCATTCCGTTGTAAACATTGCTATCTAGTTCAATTTCTGACTTACTTTCCTAATTTCCTAACTACTTTTGTAATTTCTTTTTGAGCAGGGCAAGGAAATTAATATGTTCCAGCCTGCTTGTATATTTTTACCCATGATTGATGAGGTAGGTGCTTTAGAAGGTTTCTCTAAAAAGCATTTCAAACCAGTAGATGACTCTTTCTTTCAGCCGGAAAAGAAAAAAAGGTAATTAAAGACGTGAACTTAACTTGTTTGACTACTTTGCAGGTTTTTAAAACCCTTGTCGAGAAAACTAAAGACATTAAGGGTGCGAAGGTTGAGCACCATAAGTTTTGTGCCTCTGTACATTACAAAAATCTGTCTAGCCAACATCAAGATTCTGCAGATAGGAATGCAAGAGGCTCAGATTCTAGCAAGATGGAATCCTGGTATTGGTTCCCGAGTCCAGCTGCTAATTGGAGTGGCCCTGATTTTATTGGCCGTCCAGGTGGTTCAAAGGATGAACTTCCATGGAAAATCAAAGCATCTATTCTGCACTTTGTTCGAGCACATCACGGAGTGCTAAGATCTATAGCAGTATGCCAAGATGAATGCTTTCTTTTCACTACTGGAGTTGGTCCAGGATTCAAAGGGATTGTTCAAAAGTGGGAGTTGTCAAGAATTGATTCTATATCTGGTTATCACGGCCATGAGGAGGTGTGCCTAATCTATTTCTTTTGTTTGAATTGCATCACCTGTCTTATGATTACAAGCAAAAAGCTTTTCTTTTATGATAAAAAGTTCTTGTTATCCCCCCCCCCCCCCAACATTATGGCACTAAATAGATGGTCGGATTCTTTAGCTTCCTTTTTTATTTATGTGCTCCTCCTTTTCCAATTTCTGTAGCGCACTTTCTGTGCTGGAATGTGATAAAGAGTTCGACAAACTTCTATAGTAAAAATATCCAAAAGGATATTAAAAGGTTTGAAAAATTAAAACTCTAGTGGTCATCTGATGGTTTCCCTATCATACCAACTTTCCAGTAAATGTGTTTGTTTTTTTGCTGCTACCACCAATTTCATATGCCAGTATACCACCTTCTGATCTCTGTACTCATTTTAACTTCACCAATAAAATAGGAAGAGAGTGTTTTATTGTGCTTTATTTGGTATATATATGAAAATTTCGTACCAGGAAAACCTTAGACCGGAGAATGATTGATTTCTCTCACTGTCCTATTCTGCTTCAGTGATTTGCTTTCTTTATTTAAGAGAATTAACTGTTTTAACGACAATATCTTTTCTTGGGCATAAAATGTGCGCCGTTTTCTGGTATAATAAGAAATTTATTGTTGAGGCAAAGCTGATATAGACACCGCAATGGAATGTCTTATCAGCTTACTTGGCAGTTTTCATGCATTTAAGCAAATTATAATCTGGTATAATGTTCCTACTTGTCCATTGGTTTCAATTGATTGATAGATTGTTGTTGATACTTAGTAAGTTTTGCTAAGCTATGTCACATTCTGGAACCTATATTCCTCCCAACAAAAAGAATTTGTTACATGATTTTATTTTTCAGCTTCATTGTCCTTTTTTGCTATCAAACAGTAAGCACTCATCTGTATGTTGTGCCTAACAACTTGTTAACTAGTAGTTGTTCTTTGAAAGAGGAAGTGAACATAATCCTTACCAAGCATGGGCTGGTTCTGTACATTAAAAATGCCTTCTGTTAAATTTCACAAAGTTAGGTTGAGATATATAGGAAAAAGACCCTCACTGAAGTTCTATGCATTTATTTGTCTTTCCTTTACAGGTTGTGAATGACATTTGTCTTTTGGCATCTACTGGAAGGGTATCCTGTGATGGGACAGTGCATGTGTGGAATGGCCAAACGGGGAAGCTAATATCTGTGTTTGCAGAGTTTTCGACAAGCTCTGTGCAACATACCAGCCCTTTAGCCAAAGCTTCAAAGTTGAACGCAGAACAGGCTAATATGCTACATTTCAATTCATTGTCAGGTGGAATATTGAACACTTCATTTGATGGTAACTTATACACTAGTATGCATTACTAAGAATATCTGGACAATCTTGTTGTGGGTACTGGAAATGGCTCTCTCAGGTCAGTGCCTTCTGGAGTTGTATTTAATTGAGTCAGATACATTCTCTTACATAGTTTATCCAGTCAATGTTATTTTGGCAGCCAGATTCATTGATGTCAGACAAGGTCAAAAACTTCATTTATGGAGGAGTGAAGCTACTGAGTCCAATTTCCCTTCTCTGATTTCTTCCATATGCTCATGTGCTTCGACTAAACAGCAATACAGAAATCCTCAATATCCATCTTGGGTTGCTGTGGGGCAAAGTTCTGGCTATTGCAGGTTATTTGATGTGAGGAGTGGAAAAATTATTTCCTCATGGCAAGCTCATGATGGTTTTGTCACAAAGGTAGAATTGGCTAATGCTTCCAGTAGCTTGAAATAAAAGGGTTCTGCTTACTCTGGTGTTTTTACTTGCTTGTTTCCTGCAGATAGCCGCACCAGAAGAACATTTGCTGGTTTCGAGCTCCCTCGACCGCACCTTAAGGATTTGGGACTTGAGAAGGTTACTTTAGTGTTCTACATACGTCTTTAAGTTTTGCGATATGGACTTAATTTTCGTGAAAATGGGGTACAATAAGATTAGGCCCAGTCCGAGATTAGGCTCAGCACGGATTGGCCTAGATCTTGCCTAGATCTCAGTCAATCTTATCTGTGATTGAATTCTTGCATACAGTGAGTTTGTCGGTCAGTGTGAAAGTGGTTGCCTAGCTAGAACCATTGAGCTGCATTTCATCTCCAGTAAACTGCATAGCTTAAAGTCATTGATACCTTAGCTCAAGTCATATAATAATATGGCTTTTGTTTCCAGTATGTTTCTTTCTAAGTTAGCAATTGCGAAATTTCATGTTTGAGAAAGCCAAAAGATGAAACCCATGAGATGATGAAGAACAAATTTGATCGCGTGCCGTAATGTAGATGAAAATGTGAGTGCCAACTTTTCTTGTTGCTTTTTCTTAATGTCAACTGGATGCTGGAGTTGCCCATGTTAACAAAAGAGCGGACATCTAATGATCTTCATTTTGACCACAGAATTGGCCAGTCGCTGCACAATACGTCCATGATGTCTTGAAAGACTACCCTCGGCTACGGCTAACTCATGGGCGGAAGGTAACTTGATGTTCCTATCTTTGTCTCCGTTTCAATTCCTGGCCACTACAACATTATAATAATGATATAATTAATGCTAAACGTGTGCAAACTGACTTCTTTTCCTTTTAAAATCCTATAACAGGATTAATTTGATATGTTGTTCTTTTTTAGTAGCTTGCATGTACATTTAGTGTCCAAATTTGGGTCTAGATAATGTGTTTCTGTAGAAGAGCTAGGCTCATGACTAGCATCTTGTATGTCCATTATTTTCTTTTTCTTTTTGGATCAATTTATTTAGTCTAGGCATTTCAGATGAAAGGTAATGACTTTATTTATCCTCTTTTGTAGGTGGAGTAGATCAAAAAATAGAAGATGAAGGCAATGAAGATCCAGACCTCACTTAAAATGAATTTTGAATTACTATAGATGAATGTTCTAGGAATCTTTTGTTGTCAACATTTTGAAACTTACTATCTTGGAATGTATTAAACTTATGCACTTGGGGTAGAACATTTACTTTTATGGATATTATTAGCTTGTTGGACGAGTTATATTATTAATAGTTTTATTTTGTGATTTATTTAAATTTTAGTGTTATTATAATTTATTATATATATAGGAGCTATATTTCTGTTTTAAATGAACTGTTATAATAGCCTACCAGAACCGTTGCAATAGAGCACAAATGGCATTCCATTAGAATGTAAACCGTTCCAATAGATCCGGTAAATTGTTCCAAAATACCCTCTAAACTGTTCCAATAGGTATTTAAAACCGTAGCAATACAAAAACAACCGTTACAATAGCTTAAAGAGGCCGTTGTTATATCCATAAATAACCGTAACAATAGCTTACGAAAGTGTTGCATTAGATAATATGGTAACGGTTATGAGCCGTTGCATACACATTATAGTAACGGTTTTAAACCGTCCCAATTGGTAGGAATAATCGTTCCAATAGATAAAGGAAAAACCGTTGCGATAGACGTCTCTATAGCAACAGAGATGAAAACCGTTCCAAGAATCGTTCCAATAGCTCTATTGGCACGCGAGCGGGTGTGACGGTCTGTAAACCGTTCCAATACCGCTACGGCAACGGTTTATCTATCTACTGAAACGGTTTTCTATGCATTACCGTAGACCAATTTTTCAGAAGTGAGAATTTAAAACTTTGTTCAAAGTCAACAAAATTAAGTCAGCTACATTGTCTGTGAGCATTTAATATGAGAAGTGACCCTAACTTAATTTAAGTTTTATCCATTTTTAACAGAATTTTACACCTTTTTATTATTTGACCGAACTCAAGAAGTTTCTCACCCTTTTCATATTATCAACGGAAGTAAACAAAACACTCATAATCCACCGGTAACTTTTAAGTAATGTGATTATATGAGGTTCCTTTTTTTTCTTCTTTTTTTACAAATTCAGATATAAAACTTAAAGTCACACTATTAGAAGTGCACATTTAAGTTACGCAAGCTACCGTTGTAAATAATTTTACACGAACAATGTAATGTTGTATTTAACTAATTGTAACATATTCTTTCTATATCACAATCCACCATTATTATTGACAACTAATATACACGGCCTTAAATGATTTGAATTTTGAGTATTTGTATAAAAGTTTACCCTCTTAATTAATTGTCCATTTGCATCAAATTGTGAAACATACAATTTTAGCTAATGTTTTCAATTGCTGTCATAGCTCCATATGGAAATTTAGATGGTGTAGAAATAAATGCATACATCTAACTCAACTACTCATCTTAATTACCCCTTCACTTTCCCCTTTATAACTGAAATAGAGAAAAAATAAAACAATCTCACTTCTTATCCTACTATACAGCCTTTGAACACTTAAAACAGCCATGGCAGAGCACAAGATTATAGCAGAAAACACCATTCAAGATGCCTACAAGTTCCTCAACATTACCCAAAATCCAGATGGCTCTCTTACTAGAAAATACCCATTTCCTAATGTACCTTCAAATCAAGAAAATGATCCAAATTCACAACTTATTTCACTCTCTAAAGACATTCCTCTTAACCCCACCACAAACACCTTCATACGCCTCTTTCGGCCCGTTAATCCGCCGCGTAACGTTAAATTACCGTTGATCATATACTTCCACGGTGGTGGCTTTGTACTCTTTAGTGTGAGTTCTATTATTTTCCATGAATCTTGTAATGCTATGGCAGCTCAGTTCCCTGCATTGGTTGCTTCCGTTGAGTATCGGCTCGCCCCCGAACACCGCCTTCCGGCCGCCTATGAAGACGCCGTGGATGCCATTAAATGGGTTAACGATCAAGCTCTTAGCAGTAGTGATCATGTTGATCCATGGTTGAAAGAGTTTGTTGATTTTTCAAAAATTTTCTTGATGGGTAGTAGTGCGGGAGGAAATATTGTGTACCATGCAGGTCTACGTGCACTCGATCTTGATATTGATCCGATCAAGATCGTAGGGCTGATAATCAATCAGCCCTACTTTGGTGGGGTTCGGAGAACAGAGTGTGAACTTAAGTTTGTTAATGATAAGGTTGTTCCTTTGCATGTAAATGATCTGATGTGGTCGCTTGCATTGCCTAACGGTGCGGATCGCGATCACGAGTATTCTGATCCAATTATTAGTGAGAATAAGTTGAAGGAGACGATCAGACGGTTGCCGAGGTGTATGATCAGAGGGTATGCAGGGGACCCACTGGTTGATCGGCAGAAGAGGTTTGCCAAGATGGTAGAGTCACATGGTGTGCACGTGACTTCTCAGTTTCTTGAAACTGGACATCATGCTGTTGAGATATTTGATCCCAGGAGTGCTCAAGATTTGTATGATTCTATCAAGGAATTCATCAAATCTACTTGTGATGGAAATGTGGGCAAATCAGCTATGTGATGTAGTGTGATAAGTGAAAATTTGTCTAAAAGTCACTTGGGATCATGAATGCTTTCACGTCTTTATTTATAGCTTTTACAAGTGCAATGTATGTCAGTCGGACTTAAAAAGTGTTATTAATGTTTTTTTTTAAGATTACGACCTCTGAATTTGAATACACATCTGAATATCAAGATGTGTATTAAGATTAAGACATCTGAATCTGAATAAACATCTGAATATATTAAGATGTATACTAAGATCTGAATAGAAATAATTAAGACTGTTTGATTTTTAACATCTGAATGTATAAAATTTATCTTTATTTGAAAATTAATAAACATAAAATTCAAATGAAATACTAACTAATCTAATATTCCATCATTAAAATATATAGTTTTTTAAAATATGATAGTTGTTGGTGGTGATGGCTAACGGGTGAATGTCGACTAGAGGCGGTGCTTGGTGGTAGTTTTAGTTGATGATGGTGGTTCATGCTAGTAGCTGTTGATACCCAATTTTTCCCTCGGTATTTTTTTTATACTCAAAATACTTTAAAAATGACATATTTATGCATATATGAGCATACCCAAGTGTTTTGGTATTTTTCCAAGTTCTTTTTTTTTAAAAAAAAATTTTTAAAATCAATTTATTATCTATTTTAATACTACAAGATTCAATAATTATTCCCAAAATTATTATTTTGGTAAATAATTCATTTTTATTTCTCATGTTTATACTAAAATATAGTTTAAATAAATTTTGCATATTTTTTTACGCATTTGTTTGGAATTTTTAATGCTAAATTGCATATAATTGCAATTATAGCCTATTTTACAATTAATTGCATTTTATAATTATAAAATCATTTACAGTATTTTTAGATTAATATTTATACATTATTAATTAGTTCAGTGTTTTTAATTTGTTTTTAAAATTATTTTAACTATTTTTATAAAATAAAAAGGGAGAACTAGGCTATTTAACATGTAGCCTCATCTCATTACAATTATGGCCCATTCAGATTTCAATTCTAACCCCCAAATTTCCCAGCCCAATTTCAACTTAGACCCGACCCACACCCAATTCAATTACCCGGTCCAGCTCCGATCTAATCTGAGCCGTTGATCAAATGAGATCAACGGCCCAGATTTTATTTCCTAAATTAAATCCCAACTACCCTCCCCCGACCCCTCATTTTTCACGAGACTCTCTCTCTCTCTCTCTCTTGGTCTCTTGCTCTCCCTTCTCTCTAGAACCTTCTGGTTCTCTCTTCTTCTCCGATAAATCCACCGCCTCTCCGGCCACCTCCAGCCTCACCTCTCTCGACCACCAGCCGCCGTGAAACCTTGTTTTGTTGATTCCCTCTATCTTCGAGACCCCAGACACCATACAAGATGGTCACCGGAAGCTTTGCCTGGTTCATCTCCGGCCATTCTCCGATGGGTTTTGGTTCGATGGTGCTACGAACACCATTATTAACGAGTTTCACAGCCAGGTTTCTTACCTCTCACTGGTTTCTTACGAAACCCTAATTTCTACCTAGCCCTCTTAAGTCTCTGTCTTTTTAACGATTTTTAACTTACTCTTTTGTGTTTTACACTACTCTCTACTCGATCTTTACGATTGCTCATGTTTTCAACGTTTTGTTCTTCTTTTTAAAACTAGGGTTTCCGAACCTCTTTCGAAATCACTATATCTTCTGATTTTTTTCTAGTACTATATGTTTGTGTTTGTATTTCTGCTTGTTTGTGTGATCTTCTGGGTTATTCCTCAATTTCTATGCTTTAATTTTGTTCTAACGTTCCACTGATTCTGTGATCTCTTACTTAGGGTTCTTTGGTTTTGTGCCTATTGTGTTTAAATAGGTCTAATTGTTTCCTATTTACTAAATGTTCTGCTGATTCTGTGCATCTCTTCGAATCCCTGATTTTTGTATATGATTTCTTTGGAGGTTTTCCACTGATTTGAGTCACTTCCTTGTTTGTGAGATGCTTTCCTTACTTGGTGCTGATTCCCTGCGATTTTCAATCTCGTCCGTGACTTCCTGAACCAATTTTTTCAAAAATCAGTCTGTAATCCGTCTGTTAATGTGCACACTATACTTTTATTTTACTTTCCTTACTTGTAATTATTTTGTAATTAGTCCCTATTACATGCATCATGCTATTCCTGTAAGAAAATATCAGTCTTGCAAAAAATCTTCCTTATTTGATGCAATTTGTACCGTTTGAGCTATGACTCCCTAATTAAGGGAAATCCGAGTCTTTAATTGATTCTAATAGGTACTCTTTCCATAATTGTAATCAGTCTATACGTATTACCTTATTCTCCACTTATTTTCAAAACTATAAATGCCCTACCCTCTCTTTAGCACACACGGAACAAAAATTCATTGTTCTGAACTATCTCTTACACACATAAGCATACTCAGTGTTCTCTCTTGTTTTCTACACATCCTCTCTCACTTTGCCTGTTGACTACTGATTACTCAGTCGGCTGAAAGCCAAGACTGAGTGATTTTGGGGCTGCTCTACTATTCTACTGCTCTATACATTGCTACTTGCTTGGTCTGCATACTAATGCTCACTTCCCTGCACACTACTGCTCTATATTATCTCATCCTCGACTGCAGGCCTACTGATTTGCTTAATGCATGTTCTCCCCTACCCTCTAGCCCCAGTACATTGTCAGCATGTAATCCTGAGCCCTTTTGGTTGAAACCTGGTGTGACTGTCGAAGTGTCCTGAAATGCTGTCTGTGTTCCAACATGTGCACTATTTGTCCCCATTCCCCTTTTTCCCTGTTTGTGTTTACTTCCCTGAACTATATGTGGTATTTTGGTTCTGAGGTTGTCAGAATTGTCACATGTTTTCTTTCAAAACTGGTTCTATATGGATCATTTTCAAACTGTTTTTCAACTCAATTTCTTTAAAAACTCTACCACACACTCTCACTACTCCTAGAGTTTAGGTTCTACCCCCTTCGTGTAAGCATTGCCTTGGGTACCTTTGAGTACCCATTGAACTTTGATGCACAAGGCTGGTAATTCCACACTGCACTTGTTCAACATTTTGGTAGTGTTTGGGTGGTGGTATTGGCCGAGGACCCCAATGGGCCCTTAGGGAGCTTTGCCGCACCCAAACCATTTCCAAGGCTGTGAAACTCGAAAGAAGTGAGGTTGGAAGATTGGGCCTGGTTGAAGGCTCCCTAAAGAGTAACTTCTTATTTTATTTTTCATTATGTAATTCAGCTATCACGGTTTGTAATAACTTGTAAACAACTGATTGGGGCTATAGTGAAATTGGGTGGGATTATGCATGTTCAGTTTAATTAATGGGTAGAGAACATGTCTATAGGGCTTTACCTACCTATTTGTGCATTAGATACCATGTGTAGGACATGCATCTTACATCTAGATATCCTGTTTTAGGCTCTTTACTTTCAGATTGTCATACTCACTTTGTAATCAGTTAGTAATCGAAAAACAACTGTCATAAAATTACTACTGCATTTAGAGACCCTGCTTTAGGAGCTTTATGTGCATTAGATATCATGTTACTTAGGATTTTATTTCATCTGAGTTGCAATTGTTGAACGCCTCGCCAGTTTGTTTAATTTAATAACACAAGTCTGGGCTAAAACTGCGTCTTCTCTTTAAAACTGGAACTAATATGCATGTTCACCTTTTCAAATAGGCAATACATACGACGCCTAGGCAAGCCTTAGGCTAATAATAATAAAAAAAAACTGATTGATCTTGTTTTACCAGTTTCAGACTACTCGGCCTTTTTAAACTTTCCCAACTCTGTTTTTTTATCTGTCTCTCTGAAGTTCCCTTTTTATTGAAAATCTCTCTACCTGGAAACAAGTTCCGTATTTATATACTCTCACTAATTTTCCGATTCTTGCTCTATTACTATTGGGTTATCTCTCTGCCCAGGAACGCGTTATTTTGATACTGGTCTAATTAAACTACTGTATTTTCCAATCTCCGCTTTCTTCAAAACGATGTTTTAACAGTTCCCTTACCTTTACTTATTCAACTGTTTTTTAGATGTATTCCTGAAAAATCAAACCCTTCAGGTCATTCAGTTTTGATTAAACCTTCTGCTTTTACTGAAACTTATCTTTTTCCGGCACCCCTGCTTTTAAACTCTCATCTTTTTTTTAGACCTTGTGTTTGAGACGTGCTAATTACATGTTTACTTGTGGAGGGATTTGTGAGCCTCTTATTAGCTTTTGTATGTTCCCTTTATGTGTAGTCCTACTTGTTAATGTCGCCTAGCATTTTGTCCTTTAAACCTAGGTGTTCAGCCTAGTCCTTACCTTGTAGGAATAGTGGTCCTAAATACCCTCTAGGATGTTACACCCCAAGTTTTCATACGTGAGAGTACGTCGTAAGTCATTGATGTAAGCTTGAAAATGAGATTATATTTGGAAGCAAATAAAGTAAGTTAATCATGTTACCTTGGAGGTTACAAATATTTAAGATCATGAATAACGAGTACCAAAAGGGTTGGAAAGCTTAGTCGCTAAACGAATTGAAGAAAATAAGTTTCGTAAAAAATCGACAAGTTTGGAATGTTATAACATATTCTTTTGGGGTGAGACTAGGGTGATTAACATGATGAGGAGGTTAATTTATGAGTTATTGTATTCGTATGATAGTCGTGTGTTTTGTTTTTAAGTCAAACGAGTTATGGAACAAAAGTTAGCAAAGGTCATCACAAGTTGCATTCATAATGTGCTGAAATTTAGGTCAAATGTAGATGCACTTTTCTCCCAATATACTTGGAATCAATGGATGATCTACATATCAAATTGAAGATCTACGAGTCTAATTTCCAACGCATTAAACCGTTCGTCAATACGACATCGGAGTAGAGAGATATTCGTGTTTTCGCGAGACCGCGCAAGCAGCTCCCAATGGGACCCACTTAGGCGGTGGTTGACCTACTTCAATTTATAAACGATTTGGACGCCTATTTTTCA